TTGCATTGTTTTCTTGTGTCTATTGACTATCACAATTTAATAGTCATGTTTTGTTTCACGGATTGAATGACCTCACTCTATTAGAAATAGTAAGTAACATTTCAGTGTTTTGTCAGGATCAGATATAACAGGTGTTTGAAACCCGGGGGGGTACTCGACCCCGTTTTGGATAGGTACGTGCCGCCAGCGATCTAAATCCCTGACCCTGTTTAAGACACTAGAAAGTGAAAATCCATACCCTGTTCAAGAGACGCAACCATCAAAAGTGCAATTATACTGACATCCATCAAAGACAATAAGAAATTTTTGATAACACGTTAATCCTGGGACAGTGAAACGGTGTTTTTATTATTTCTACGGTATTTCTTATGAAAATATTACCCTGTCTAAGACACACACAMAAAAAAAATATATCGGTCTTTTATCTAAATTGTCGAGCCTGTTTAAGACARTTTMGGGTGRAATGTATACCCTGTTTAAGACAGCAAGGCCAAAAACCATACCCTATATCGTGTTTTTTGAAATAGCTGTATACTTTTTATGATCAAAAAGGATTTTTAAAAACTTTGATCGCTTTTAAAATTTGCTAGTTTCCAGTCTCGAGGTCGTTTCTCATAAGGACTAAGAATGAAGCTTTGGGGTACTCCGCATACAGCTATTTCAAAAAACGTTGTCGGAGAGAACGACAAACRGCGATTGTCGAAGGGAGATTGCACGACCGAAAGGGACTATGGTTACACTGTTTTGATAAACAAAATTTCACTTATTGGATTCACCTTACATAGAAATGGAGACTAAATGAAGCCAATGTTTACCACAGACCATCTTACAGTACAAATCAGTTGTTATTGCCTTTCACCCATGGCTACGTTCGGTCGCGCAATCGCCGTTCGACAATTGGCATTCGCCATTTTATCCGACAACCTTTTTTCAAATAGCTATATAATAATGTGGGTGTGTGATTTCATATTTTTTATTCCTAAGATAATATCACAAGCAATGTCTCCTACAAAATTCCTAGATTCACTGTTCCTTCTTTTGCGAAAGATTTATTTTCTTGTCATTCCAAACGTAGCTTCCCTCCATTATCACATGACATTACAGCACATTCCAACAAACAATGCGCTGTCCTAAATTACAATGCATTACATCATGTATTATATAACAATACGTCCTTCACTTCCACGGTTACATGCTCAAATCCACTTCCAAATCTATTTGAAACCAGCCATTTCAAACCATGTAAATGCATTACACGGCCGGTATGTACACAAAACAGCACAAGGTTTTGGCATCGAGGAGGACTATTCATTGTTTCGACAAGCACTGTCCTCACATCAGGAATGGTTGAACACAGCACAGAGTCATTGTGCGTCACACATATCTCATCTGTTTGTTCGAGAAGCAGCTCGTACTTTGGCCATTAAGTCCTGAAATGTAGCATAATGATTTATTAATGAATGAATTACATGTTATAAATCACACAAAGAGGGGACCGAGCGAAGTATTTGTCCTATAGATAAGAGTTACAGTCGAACCTCTATTAAGCGATCACCCTCTACTAAGTGATCAATTATGAATTCCCCAAAATCCGACTCTCATATATTTGACTGTAATAGTGACGTCTATTTAACTGTCAACCTCTATTAACCGGTCAACTGGTCTTTCCATAAGATGACCGCTTTAATGGAGGTTTGACTGTATTTTTTATAAGAGACTCTTTAGGGGTAAGTATGAAGTCAATGTCCCRTCCCTGTCGCTTGATTTGACCAGCTTACTTGAGTAACTCTGATGATATCTGCAGAAGGGGCACCAACACCACCAGCTATCATTTCATCATTGTCATCACGTGACCTTTTGTCTTCAAACATATCCAACCTAACATAAAATATCATTAAGTAATGGCCCAAGTAAGAACTATAGAAGCAAATGGAAAAGGAATGCAAGAAGGTGCTAATTGTRTATTGTATAATCCATCCATCCCATTKGTTCAAMCAAGAAAATCTGCTATAATTTTACAAGTTAGCGCATTTTCTAATATTCTATTTAATATCTGATTCCGACTTCATGAAAGCTTTCATTAGCTACAATATCAAGGCAATTCTATGTGGGGAACATAGCAAATTAGAAGCTCTTTTTGGCTATTGTTTTGAGTGCTTATGATTGGATAAGAGGTTTTAATACAAAAATTTATTTCAAAAATGCGTTACCCATAGCCGGTTGATATATAATCACCAAAAAAAAAAACCAAAGACATTTGTACGTGGGGAAGTTGCAATGCCGCAGAACAATAGAGAGTTCTACAGTTCTTATGCGCATTGTTACTTAACATACAGAGTAGTAATATAATAGTGACAATGTCGATGTTTTGGAATCCCTTGGTTAACTTTAACCATAGAGTGACTTACTTGGTGTCACTAGACCTCTTTCGTTCTGTAAACCTTCTTCTTGCCTCACTGTTAATATCTTGTCTAAAACAAAAGGGAATATAAATGACATGATTCTTGTCCACTTTTAATAGCATTGATTAATAAACTGTAACTAAATAAGATACATTCTCAAATTTTAATTTTAATTAAAAATTTAAAAATTAACAAGATGAAAACACCCAATATTGCTTACTGACAAATGCAGCGCCCTTACTTTCATACTACACAAATCATCATACACGAATTGAACACCCAATAAAATGATTAAAATTCACGTGTATGCACAAAAATGTACCATGTAAAATTACTGCATGTTTACTGTGCACATATTTTAATCTTTTGATGATATACAACATTCATGATTGGCTCAACAACAGCTATAAACAAACAAAAGAACCATTCTTTATTCAATTCTAACAAGTGGTAATACTAGTTAAACTTACTCTATATCTTGACTAGTCCCTTCTGATACTTTAGTCTTCTTTAACATGCTAATGAATAATGAAGCTTTACGCCTTCTTTCTTCTTGAAGTTGCTTTTCTCTCTGGTACTGTGACTCTGTCTCCAACCTTTGTGCTTTAATAACATACATCAAAGTTATCAGTGATGGCTAGCATGTTTCAAATAATATAGTGTTTGCAAGAAAAACAGAAAAACAGAGATTTCTTTTTGGTTTTGACTCCAATGTGAACCAAAACTTACACTAGTGCCACAGTGGTAATCAAAATATTAAACACTTCATCAATCTGAATTTTAAAACAGCTGTACGGCAGGCATATCGGAGCCATTAGTCTACATCATCAGTGCAGACATAACTTTAGGTATACATTTATCAGCAATATTCATTGCTGAACCAAAGAGCTTTATGACTAAAAGCCCATAGTATTGATTGACACCAAGTCTATTTGAAAGTTACTGCTCCCCTTTGCTAGAGTTTTCAAATTATCATGTTTAACAAATTATATAGCGTCTCGTACGATAACAACCATAACACATTATATACACCTAATTGAAAAAACGTAGTCGTGTTCGAAAAGGCCACATCATAGAAGCTAAGACCGAAAGGGATTCTGAGTACCACTAAATTGGGATTTATACATTTGTATATACGGTGTACCGTAAATCAAGTAGAGCTAGTAAGATTAACAGCATGCTAGTCATTTATGCTGGAGAGCTGTTTGTATGAAATTAGCCAAATTGTTTGTCTTCTTATTGTGTTAAACGATGTATAATATGTTGAAGCCAATATATGATTTTTTAACTGAGGCACCCAYAAAGGGGAGCAGTAACCTTTAAATGCCTGATGTCAAGTGGCTTGTTGACTGTGAACAAAAACTCATTACTTTAATCCAATTTGCCATGTTTGAGACTGCATTGTACAAGGTATGTATCCACAATTACCTTCTTTCTCAGCTTCTTTAATAGACTTCAACTGTTCTTCAATATCAACCTCTGATCTTTCTTCCTTTGGTGATTCGGTCTCCTCTTTCCTGTCCTCTCCCTTGCTTTCTGTTTCATTACCATCAGAATCTTCTTCTGTTCCCTGCTCTCCAAATTCCTCATCTTCACTCTCCCCAGGCTCCATACTTTGTTTGTAAATCACATTAGTCCTGTATTCTATCTTTGGTTTTTGGATCTCTTTTGGCTTGATTGAGAAGCTGATTGGTCCTGATTAATAATCAACATACATTGAAGACATCAAAACAATCTCCAGGATAAGCAATTGTGAAATAAGATAAATACTGACATCCTTCATCAGAGTAAAGGGGAAAAAGTAGTATCATTAAGTGATAATAGTATGCAAACAACCTTATAGTTTGAAATCAGGTTTAAGCAAATTGAAGGGGCGGATGCGAAAACGGCGTAAGTGACGATTTAGGGTATTTTTGAAATTTTCGAAAAATTGACAAAAAATCGCTTCAATCATTTGTTTCTGGTCTAAATAATCATGTTTGCTAGTTATTTCTCGTGATTTCCTTTTAAAAAGCGGAAAAAAAGTCGACATTTAGTTACAGACTGTACCCTCCCCTCCCCCAAAGTTTAGCGGCATAGGGTTAGTTCCAGCCTTATGCAAGAGTTAGGGTTCCTATAGCCTAAGACAGGGGCTAGGGTTGCTTGATTTAGGGTTAGGGTTAGAATAGTTAGGGTTTAGGGTAGGGTAGGGTTAACGTTAGCTAAGCGTTAGGCTCTAAAACCTGAGTTTGTAAAGCAAACAAACTCCCCCCCCCTCCCCCCCGAGTCCACATGACGACTTCATGACCGACAAAGTGTGTAATTTATTCTAAACCCGAGTTCACTCGGGTTTAGAATANGTAGAGTAGTGACTAAAGGCAAAAAGGCTGAGAAAACCGCGAAAAAACTCATTTCTCGACTTCTTGCAGCACAGCTTCGAACCAAAACAAACCGACAAACCAACTGTCAAAGTCATGAGTTTAGCGCGAATATGCAAATCTAGGATATTTTACGGTCTAGCGATCAGTTGTCAAGCCAAAGAAGTCGGTAACTATGGGTCCTTTTTTGCTCTTTTTGGAAAGAAATCAGGAGAAATAAGTACTAAATAAGGTTATTTAGACTTAAAATAAGCGATTGGAATGATGTTTTTTTAATTTTTCGAAAATTTCAAAAATACCCTAAATCGTCACTTACGCCGTTTTCGCATCCGCCCCTTCAATTGCTTCAGCAATTTTTGAAAAGACCTTAAATTAAGACAACTAGGTGCAAGTAGCTTCAAGGGTTATCCATCTTTATACAAAATTCATACAACCAGCCCCACTGTCTGGTAATCAACATGATATTCACAAATAGATGTTAGGTTAGATTAGATTTCTAATGCTTTTCTGGTTATGTATTCCAGTTATATACAATGAAATCAAGTAAACATGTACCTTTAGCCGCAGCTGCTCTTGTTTGTTTTTCAATGTCATCAATACATAGCTGTTTCTTATATTGGTAATACTTGTGATGTTCATTCCAGGGATGTACAAATGTAAACCTTGGATCATTCTTTGCTTTGATGATATTTTCAAAGTCAGGTCCATTCTTAGCCACATAATTAGCAAGCTTATCTATGATTGGTTGAATGTCTGGTGGTGGAGGTACAATTGGCATCATAGCAGGGTATCCTGGGGTGATGGGTGTGGTTGGTATACTGGTAGTACCTGGATGGGTGTATATTGGTTGTGGGTGTGGTTGATGTGAAGCTTCACTTCCTGGCCATTCCTCTGTAATGCAAACATTTTTTACAACATTTCAATCATTTCACACCAATCTAAAACTAAAAAWATCTCAAGATTCTTGGAGAAAATAGTTGTGAATGCAAACATGAGATAAAAAAGACAATCTGATCACGAGAAAAAATTGCTAAAGCAAGGTTGTCTTCTCACATATAATGAACATTAAGTATTGTGCTAGCRTTGATGGCAGCTTTACTGATATCAGTTAAAATCTTCTACTGGTGAATGATGAGACACCAAATCTGAGACCTTGTCTTATATTGTAAGTATGAAAGAATAATGCTTAAAGAAATTAAAACTTCAGAAGACCATATCAGTTTCTCAGAAACAAGCAGGCACCACAGAAGTAAGGAATAGAATGATAGCATATATCTATAAATTGCTTACATACCTTCCAAAGGTCCCTCCCCTGGTGGTGGGGGTGGGGGTGGTAAAAGATTCATAGCTGACARTGTAGAATTAGATGATGATGGTACGTATTGATTGGAMACTGGAGAGCCAGAATATTCACCATCTGCAAGTATTTTTAGGTTTATGAGCATCATGCCAGCCAAGATATGGTATAAACAAATTAAGGATAACCCCTAAAGCAGTCATTTTGGGGAAAGACCAGGTGATTGTGCATATATACTGTTCTTACATGTATACACGGGTTTTTAATGTATTACTGTGGCAGCTCCAAGAATTTGCCTAATAGACGGTCTTTTAAGAATATTTGATAATCCAATAATAATACTTTTTAATTTTAATAATAATAATAATAATTGTAATGATAAAAAATAATAATCATCATCATGAAATATTCCTATATGTATACCTACCATAATAACTAGCTTGATCATGTTCAGTCCATTGATAACCATCATAGTTAGAGCCATCATAATACTGCATATTGTATTGATGTCCTGGCTGTTTGCCTGTAGACTGTGKTATTGGTGAAGAGGGTGCTGAAGAGTTGGGTGTATTTGATGCACTACGATGAGATGCTGTGAGGAGTGGATGAAGTTCAAATTCACCATCAGAATCATCTTCATCACTTTCTGGTTCTAAAATCAAAGGAAAGAAACATTTAATATGACTATTGATGCTCAGATGTTATTCAACATGGCAGTTCATTCTATCAGTACATGCATGCAACAGACATCTCTCACTTCTTGAATCCATTTTACAAATCCTACTTACCAGGCTCCTTAACGTCCTCTTGTTTTGGTGAAGGCACTGCCTGCAGCTGAGGGGTGTATATCTTTTGTGAAATGCGCTTTAACACATGTTTGTAGTAAGGATTTAACCAATTGTCAAAATTCAAAAAATCAAACTGTGGATTTCCAGCTTGCTTTGCTTTAACTAGGATTTCCATTTGAGTACCCTGCTCACTAACAAACATTGCTGTCTTCTCTATGATGGCATTCATCTTGTCTGTATCAGGCTGGTAAGTTGATAATATAAACTGGTGAGATATAGATATTATACTAMAGTATAAACCCTTCTTCACATTAGTGAGTCTCCTGTATTCCTTGAGACCATATTAGAAAAATTGAAGTGCATTTAATTAATSACATAGCATTTGTTATTCTAAAACAGAAATAATGGAAAATTGTAGTGTTTTTGCTTGCAATAAACCCCCGTTCTAAGCACTACAACTTTCCATTCTATTTCATGGACTTCCTGTTGCTATTCAGGAATCTCAGAAATAAGCATTCTAAAATAGCATTAATGTGAAGACACTACTAACACTGGATTGAGGATTTATTTTGGAGCTACATTTGATTGCACATTCATGTTACTTACTATTTCCATGCCTTCAGGTACTTCTAACTCTTCTGGTGCAACAAATTTTTCAATTGGTTGGGGTTCTGGTCCTTTAAGGTGATAAAGCAATTTATATATTACACATGTACTTGCTTTCCACTTGGAAATTCAGATGAATATTTATCCTTAATATTTAAAGAAATATCCTTATATAGACAATTGCAAATTAAGACATCTAGAAAAAATACAAATGCTAAAATATGTGGATGCCCACTGGTTGCCATTTAATGCTTTTCAGGGGTGTCAATAAAAGCCAGCAAACAGCAATAAACCGCCRTCTACTTTACTTATGACCGCTGGCTAGATAACATTGTAAAASTTTAAGTGTTTATTTGTTTTCAACAAATCTCTCTCTAAGAAGACCATAAATAAAAAAAATACTGTACAACTACTTCCTTACATTTCAAAAATTATGTATCGTTCATTTTTGCAGTGTACTGAACTCTATTCTGTTGATTATTGCAAGATTCTTGACTAAATTAACGAAGCGAAGCGAATGGATTATGGGCAGTGTTGAGCCTAGCTGCCCAGTGGTATTTCTCTTCAAAAATGGCGTCAAGCACCAGATCAAAAATGTGTACTTTTCTTTCAAAGCCCTCTACTTAAAAAACTATTGACACCCCTGCTTTTCTCTACCAAAACCAAGACTTCCTATCCTTAATATAAAGGTAAATTTGACAGAAACATAAACAAAACAGTATTGTACTAAATGTATGTTTCTCTAGTCATGTCAAGTTATTGGCAGCTCATCACTGTAAGCAACAAGATTTTTTTTATTTATCTTCAAAAATACATGAATTACATTAAAACTTTGAATTTATACAAAACTCAATACCTTGAATTTGAATCGAAGAATTTTCATGATCACCATTATTATCATAACTGAAMCCAACTGCAGAATAACCATCTTGTGAAATGGCCTCTTTGAATCTTTTCATTTCTTCCTCTGAAAATATTAAAATATAACACTGCTATCATCATACATGGATAAAGCTATATCTGTATGCCTGCTGATTCTTATAGACTGAAACTGTCACCTTCACCCTACATTCAGGGTCTTATACTAGACTAATCAATTCATGTTTTAAAATGTATTTCCCTTTTATAGGRTTTTATCTATTTCTATTAGTAGCAATTTTTACCTTGTTCTATATCATGCTCTTCCAAATTGGTTGAYAGTTCAAGGTATCTTTCCTCATCACACAACTGTTCCATTTCTTCCTCCTTTGGAGACAGGACATGAGAAATTTCATCTGGGTTTGTTTCAAATTGGAACCTTTCTGTGAAGAGCAGGCGACAATCATACCTAAAGTTGGAGGCAATCAACCCAAAGAAGTATATTAGTACAAAAGAAACTGACTTTTTTCAATAATTATCTATGTGATCTAAAAGAGTTACCATAACTCATGTATAATAATTACAATAGAATTACATGATAAACAAGTTATAGAACCGTTGCACTATCAAACAGCCATATTTGAATCAAGAGATCCACAAAAAGACTTTCAGAACATACRAAACATATTCCTGTCATGAAGACTATCACAAAACAGTACAAAGTCCTTATATTGAAGAAATGAACTGACGATTTTAGCCCTTATCAATCATGCATACTGTAATCAATGATCTGTATAAAACCATTGTCCATTGGTGCTCTCTCTAATAAATGGCTAAACCTTAGGAATTGGTAACTCCACTTTTAGACCACACAGAAAACGCTTGGTACACTAAATGACATGTACTTACGAGTTACAAAAGTGATGATTTCCAAATCCTTCATCTTGATCATCCTTTAATAATTGAATAATACTTACAAAGAACCGGCCATCTTACATTGAAATGGCCAAAAATCTCGCTGAAATATAACATATTGTTTGGCAAGATTGCCACTTGGCTCCCAAAAGCATGTCTCTCGTGGCATTTTTTCGTAAAAGCACATTATAAACTCGGAATCGCTGTAAACTGGTTTAAAACCGTGAGGACGTTCGACAGCCAGTTTGTTCCTACACAGAGATTGTTACACAAAAAACTACACTTTCTTCAAAATTTTTATTGAAAAGCAGTTAAATGTTTACACAACAGACCTGTCGATCTGAAGACTGCTATCGCCTTGCCAAGATATAAGGTGTCTTCCTTTATCGTGGAAGTCTGCTGCTTTGTCATCACGAAACAACTTGCTAGCATAACCAAACACGAAGAGTTCTTCGTCCTTCTTGCTATGTCTGTGCTTCTTTTCTCGTTGGAACATGTTGAAAGTTTTTTAATCAAGAAGATGAAGGTGTTTCCAACGAATCTTTTGACGTTGAAAGGTCATAACTACGCAGTTCACACAACAGTAGTTCTCTSACTCAGTTTTTACATCCATTCGTCCGCCATGTTGTACTTCGAGTATCAAACGAGTTTAGTCCTGTTTGTGTCAATGTGATTTTACTACGTCGCGCTATGAACTATGGGTTGATTTGGAAAGCATGGCCGAAACAAAGCTGGACTTCTTTTACATAGAAAAATCAGAAAGTCACGTTATAAATAAAATATTATTTACATAACGACGACGTTGTTTATTACTAAAAATATGATCTTTGCGAAGCAATTACTGGCTTTACAACTAGGCATTTTCTGAGAGTGGCTGAATAGAAGAAAAAAAGAAAAAAAAAAGAAAGAAAAAAATTCAACTTCATTAGTTGGAAGACACCATTAATTGCCCTGCAAGACAGCATGGAACTGTGACAGAAAGTCAACTTAAGTACTGAAAAAAAAGCAAAGGAAAGTTACTACACGGAAAAATTCGTTTAATGAATTTTATTTTTTCTTTATGTAAATACCCATTTCAAAAAAAGGTTGCCAGATAAAATGGCGAATGTCAATTGCTTATTGATGAGAAATAACAACTGATTATCTGATTAAAATTGTTTCCGTTTAGCAACAAGTTGAAATTTTGTTTGTCAAAACAGGCTAACCATAGTCCCTTTCGGTCGTACAATCTCCCTTCGACAATCGCTTCCCGCCGTTCTCCCCGACGTTAATTTTGGTGTATACCTATTTCAAGAAAGCTGGTCTGATAAAACGGCGATTGCACGACCGAAAGTGGCCATAGGTTTTGCTAAATGATGAAAAATAATAACTAATTTATGCTGTAAGATAGACCATATGGAAAAGGGCGTGGCTACCGTAACGCCATATGTTATCAGTTGTACAGTATAGCATTAACTATGCAGGGTGAATCCGATTGGATAAGAGAAATTTTGTTTGTCAAGCCCATGTAACCATAATTCCTTTCGGTCGTGCAATCTCCCCTCGACGTTGAAATCGGTGTTGTATTTTTCCATGGATAATAAAAGCTTTTATTATCCATGATTTTTCTCATTGACTCTTGACTTGAGAGCGTCGAAACGTCGTCAGTTTGTAAATAATATTTTATTTCTTAACCATTTATGAAGTTTTATCGATGAATTTTATAATATTAGTATCCCTGTTTAATTACTGAACTTTGAATGGGTTTTATTGTTTATACACTATTTCACGCTTAACCCTAACCCTAACCACGTGCACTCTAAATGATTTTGTAATAAAATATAGCTTCAAGTAGATCAATCATGGTATATAATTTTAAATTTGATAATTACATCTTAATTTTCGTAAAAACGAAGGAATATTATTATTTTCTTAAATTAACAAAAAAATCTTAACTCTCGAACTTTTTCAGTGATAAATACAACAAGAACAAAACTATGTCGATTTGCATGTCCACCAGAAATTATCCGGCATTACTGCATTCATAAAAACATTTTATTTGTTTTTCGAAAATCTCTAAAAATGTTCATAATAATGTCATATTCTCCAGCCGTGTTTTACAAATCACAGTAAGTTGTGAGTCTATTGTAATTGCCTGAAGATGGCGCTTTAGGCCGTTCACATGGTTGATCATCTCACGGTCATGTATCTTGGCATCAATGTTTTCACCTTGCAACCTACTGAAGCCTTGTAATAACTGTGATAACAGCAAGACATATTCTTGACATTTCTCGGGGGAGATATGTTTAGCGGTTCTGCTTCCTCGTGGACCCAGTACCTTACGATATGCATTATCGGAATTGTTTTTGTGAGTTCTTCTTTGCTGGGTTGATAAGTTGTGTTCAGTTGACATGTCCGTGAGACTTTTTTCTGTAGTTTTCAAATAGGTCACCATTTCTTGACTACATGATAGGTCAGCTGGTGTTTTACCATCGCTTGTCTTAGCCTGCAGTAATGGTAGTCCTGGAAACAAACAGAGTTCATTGTGACATGATCGTACATTACTCCTGCTGCTACACTGTCAGTAACTTGTCTTGCTACGCCATTGCGACACAAGTTGCGAAGAAAATTATAGCCCTGTAGCACTTATCAACTTTTCCCAGCAACTTGCAATATTTTTTGGCCGAGGAGGTAATAGGGGAGACAGAATTAGATGGCGGACAGTCGTAATGAGAAATTATTCACGCTTTCACAGCGTATGTGACTCGAAAATTGCGAGAAGAGTTGCTGGAGGGTTGATACATTGTGCAGGCAAGTTGGCAAGTTGCTGCAAAAAGTAGACCCGAGTTTTTCTTCAAGCGTTAACAACAAAAAGTTGCGAGACGATCTCTCTTACACTGTGCCAGCAACTTGCTGAGAAAATTGAACAGTTTGACAGAGATTTTTTTAAAAGTTTGGAGTTCCTGCTCCTCGCTATATAGGAAGGCCAAGTTAAGTTCCTCTGTAACAAACTAGTATATCTATTGTCCGACCKTATAGAACCAGTCTCGTTATTATTGGCAGCATTCCTTTGAGAAGGAAAAGCCTAAATTTTATCCAACTGGGTTGTTTCCATAATAGTTGCCATGGAAAAGTATACATGGTAACAACATACCTCCAGCTGAAATTAGTGCCTTAGCAACATCAATGTGATTGTTAACAACAGCATCGTGCAATGGCGTTGTACCACACGCTGGTGAGATCATGATATCAAGACCTGCTAATCCTGTTGAACATTGGAACCCATTATTTTTGGCATTGAATAACAATAACTGGAAGAATTGGTATATTGTGTTTGGTGTCATGTGTGACAAGAAAGTCGATAAAAACAAGTTGTTAAGAACTGGAACAAAATATGGAAAATCAGGATCAAACTTTCAGTTAAGTATCCAGATGAAAGTGGGATGTTTGTTGTGATGTTCCCATGGGTTGTAAGGGGCTGTTTTTACCTTATATAAGCATCTCACCTTTCTGTGTTGGCTTGTATAACAAAGGTCTTACTTTAAGTATCTCTTCAACACATTTAATGTTGCCATGGTTACAGGCTTCATGTAATGGCRTCCACCCAGCATTATCTGTTAGGTTGACATCAACACCAGCATTGATTAGTTCCTTTATCCTAGCAGGATCATTCTTGATTGCCGCAATGTGCAGTGGAGTTTCACCTATAAAGACCAGAAAATACTTATTCATTGCCTTCCTAAAATTTACAAACCTGTCAGTTGTTAATTTGTTTACATTAAGTAAATCTGTTTTATTTTCTTGTAAGCCATACAAATAGTATGTTATAGTGCTCTCCCTGTGTATGTATGGGTAATAGGATGTTTTGTAGCGGTATTTGGGATATGTACTAAGCTAACCAGCTGCAAACACTGGCTAATAATATAACTGTACCTTTCTTATTTCTCTTGTTCAGTGGATTCTTTTTTGTCTTTTCTGGTGTTCTATTTAATTGTTCAACTGTTCCATTGTATCTATTTGCATCACTAATCAAAATAATCAACATTACATTAATGGCATTACCCTTGAGCATGCTAAATCAGCCAATGCCCCATATTGTACACTATCACTAATCACAATGAGCAATAACAACGATAGAAGCATTTAACATAAAGATAGCTTGTGAACAAGCCAGAAGGGGACACTACACCGTCATCTAGTTGGGTGCACAGTACAAGAAGGCAAGCACTGACAAACTCTGACTGAATATGTATCAAAGGGCAAAAAAGACACTGTCTAATAATATTGGCAGTACAATGAGGAAATGACTTAGAATGCCACTCAAAGACTAAGGTCTATTCTTACGTTATCAATGTAAGTACAGAACTCCTTGTGTTGTCATTCTTAGTCTTATCAACATGCTCTATCACATCGTCTTGGTTTAATGTGTTAACCACTGGGAGAAGGTAGAAATAGCAAGAAACCTAAAATAAAGCAGTCACAATTTGAGAAATGAAATCATAAAAGGATTTATAATAACTCAGCCCAATGAAAAAGCTTCCTAATTTGACATCCATTAATCTCATACACTATAATTTTGTTTTCCTTTTCGTAATTTTGGAAATTGTTAATTGAAAATAAAAATACTTATTATCAAAGTTCCTTAGGCTTTTCTTGAAGGAATTGTTTTTTGGGACTGACATTTTAACGACATTAGCCGAATCTGCCTTCACTCATGAATAACTTAATAATTTTATTTTTGTGCTACTGACGCAAAGCAAAATAATGATTCTTGTCATCATCCAACAAGGATATTATATTGCAAACAATATATTAATTATATCTACAAATGTTAGAGAACATTGWATATTCTGTTTACTCGTAAACACTGATTTTCTTTGTGCAACGTATATTGCAAATGATGTGGAGATCTTTGCCTAAACTACTAATCAACAAAACAACCAACAGATTATTAACTTACTATTTTCTCAAGAGAAAGTTCTCCAGCTAAAAGTGATTTATATTGTGCAGGTACAAGACAGTCATTATATGAACTGAGCATAATATCCAACACCTGAACCTTGAGCCATRTAGGCTGCAAACTCTGTAACATTATCCTAAGTCCATCTTCTTGCTTATGAGACCTCCCACAAGTAAGGACCATTTCTGTAGCTAGGGACATCATCCATGAGCCTGCTTCAATGCCATAGGAATGATGGTCCCCCATTATTGATTGGTCAGCTATTTCAAAGCAAGTAGCTACCATTGAAAGCATTTCTTGTAGGTAACGAAGGACAGGAAACAGACAGGAGTCTTGATGTGATTGGCTGGCACTTATCCAAGTTAGTTTTAGTAGTTCTCGTACTGCACAGTTAACAGCCAGTATTCCATCAGGCCAAAACACCTTCCATGTCAATGTCTTTCTGCACCTGTCAATATCTTTAATCTTTGTGTCTTTGCTTTAAAAAAGTGAAGACACATGGTGAGCATTAAGGTACAAAGTAATGTTAAATTATTATACAAATCAAGGTAATATTCAGTGTACAACTAAATGTTTGAATTCCAAGCAAAGTTGCTCAAATTTCAAAACRTACTCTTCTCATGTTGTTTTATTTATCTTTATGAAAGTTAGATTAATACACCACTTTTGCCACAGTTGTCACACACGAAGGAATCAAGATGAGGCATATAAAGAGAATTAAAGCTGAGATTTTCTTAAACATGTTCTTAGAATTCCTGCATGCACTTAGGACCAAATGACTGCAGTATACCACAAATAAACGTATGCCATCCAAAATCCATGTAATTGTCATGTTATTCTGTTACTCTACACTATTCATTTAACATTTACTTAACAGCAACAGTCAATGGCATCAAAGAGGATGTAAAAATTCATGTCCAGTATGGTGTCCATTGCATTGTTCTGTACTACTGCCCAAATATAAAACATGGACTTTCAAAAACATGTTGTTGTCATTATGTTAGTTAATTATGAAAGTCACTATAGTTACCTTCCCATAAGACCACAGAAATCATTTTCAAAAACAGAACACAAGAACATCATGAGCATGGTGTTTCTTGTTTGGTCTTGTTTGTTGTTTAATGATGTAGTTTTTTCCTTAGTTCCATCTGTAGTTCCATCTGACAGTCCTAATGATTGTCTAAAATTAAAAGTTTTAGAAGGGAATACGATTATACTTATGAGTAAATCAAGACTGCCATCCTTAGACATCTTAATGTGGCTAATGCAATTAGTTCAGGTTAAACCCAAGTCACACACTGGGGTATCCCTCATAATTGCAAGGATTGTGACCACTTCAGATGCTTTGAGGTTGTGAGATTATCAGCCAACCCTTGCTTCACTATTGGTAAGTAAGTGTATATACTGGTAAATTAACCTTGCCAATGACTGGTGCCAGATGGTGGACCATGCTTGGGGTACTTACCATGGTTTCTTCCTGGTCAAACTTTTTTTTCAAGAAGCAAAGAATTTTACCAAAAATGGATAATTTGGTTTGAACAAATCAAGGTCCAATTGATAAGATTTTTACAAAACTCCAAAAGAAAGTCTGCCTTTATTATTTTCATTCCATACACTAATTTTTAGACATTTGTTTGCCATTTATTTTATTGATCCCATAGATGTAGAGAGAATCCATTAATCTTATATATGCCTTGGTGTTTACTCAACAAATCAATGGTAAAATGTAAATGATTTTTCTCCCTGAAATCACCCACAGCAGACGGTTGATAGTAACCTAAGAATAGCAGTTTTATCACATACCTGAAAATCATAGACAAATACTCCCATGCTGATCTAGTTAATTTAATTTCTCTATCACTGGTTAACGTGGGTGAACACATGGCCTGGTAGTACAAACTGGACCTCACAGGGGGAGGGTGGAGAGTTAGTAGTAATTGCAGCACTGAGCATGATGCATTGGCTAGTTGAGGTGAAGACGCTTTCTGAAATTATAAAAAACCGATAGCGTTTTAGAGTCAGGTTATTCAGAACAGACCTAGATAACTAGTTGTTAAACTAGAGTGACCTGCGCCATATTGCTTCTAAATAACACAGCCATAATAAAAAGATATATCATACTGTTAAATCTCCAATGAGTAAAAGTGAATAGTGTTTGTATGGAAGGGAAAAATATGTAGGGTTAGAAAGCTGTCCATATTTAGAGTTTTCTGCTTATGTAAGCATCAGCAAGTGGAAATTCAAATGTAGTATTTAAAATGCACTAATGTACTGGATGTAACTGTTGCAGGTCCTTCATTAGAGATCCTAATGTCCAAAACATCAGCACGTTATTTGCATTTTCAGCATAAAATATCCTTATTATAAAAAATATAATATTAATATAAAATATTCAAAGTTTTGTACAAAAGGCAGTCAAGATGCAATCTATTTGTTTTTATCACATAAATAATTGAGGTGAGTATGAATTCAAATAGAGATCTCTATCAGTTAGCTGTATACTGCTGAACCAAACACTACTCATTCAGTTGAAAGAAATTCAAAAAACAACATAAGCACATCTTAGGAGATAACATGTTCTACTTACAAGAAGAAGTCTATTCATAATGGTGCTAACTAGAAAAGGAGATGGATATCTTGTGGATGAAAGGAATGATTTCATGACAGACACAGCTATTCTTTCATCCTCCTCTAGATAATTCTCAATAGCTTCCATTACATGGGATGGAAATATACTGACATCTTTAGAAACCTGACAAATAATAATTGGAAATAATTACATGTATTTGAAAGCACTAGTATGTTCAGGGCTAAAAATCAGCATCAACAGATGTGTTTGATTTGTCAAAGCATCATTTATCTTTAGTAACATTAATGTAATTACAAACCGCAGTCTCACTTAAAAAAAATTCTGGCTACAAATAAAAATAAATAAAAGATAACTATAAATGAAAGATATGACTGGTCAAGCTGACCTTTTGGCAAGACACTGTAAGTTGAACAGTCCATTATGTATTTCAAGCTAGAGCGGATTTTGTATGACTGTGCAAAAGTACGGATCACAACATGGACACAACACGGCACGGTCACGGAACCTCTCCTTTTAAGATTTCAAATGAAAGTAAAGATTTTTCAATGCATCACGGCTACGGCACGGAACGGTCACAGCACGAACGTACCATGTTTTTTTGCACAGTCATACGAAATCTGCTCTACATATACATAGGTATTTCAAACAAAGGCATTGTAGCAGAATGTCGATTGCATGGCCAAACAACTCTATGTGTATTCATTTATTGATGGATTATATTCACTCATCTGGTGATAAACAAGTAGGTTTCAATCAATAGAAACAATAAAATTATTGACTGTCGTTGATCAATAATCAATACCCTCAGTAAATTTCACTTGTTGTGTTTTGTCAAGTTGCCACAACAACCTTTTCTGCAATAAAGTACTGTACATGTTATTTACCAACATGGGTGTCCATATAGCAAAAAACTACTTACTTCAGGGCCATATTTTTTTGCTATACAACATGAACAGGTAACTTTTTTTCTAAAATCATTCTCACTGCTATTTTTCTGCTTAAAGTCCATTCAAGATACTGACAACAGGGCAGAAAAACTGGTCACTCTTACTTATCTATATAACATAGAGTAAATGACTTTGTACCTTCCTTGGAAATGCCTGGTCAAAATCATTCAACAAAGGATCCCCACTATAACATTCAAGCCATTTTGGAAAGACTTGCTTGACCTTGAAAAAGACAAAAATCTACCACTCAATCACAAACAACTTATGCATTCAAATGAAAATGATTGTTGCAGCTGTTGCATGACGGACATGATGATTTATGTACAACCATATCAAGTTTGCATTCTCGAAAATGGATGTTACTCGAGTATGGCTCTATATTATTTTAGATTGTGTTGCATGGCACTAGTATGTCTACAAAAACTTAATTTGATTTAGATCAAACCTGTTTAGGTTTTTTAGCAGGAGGGAGCTGGTTTTCATCAACCACCAATTTAATTTGTCGTTTTTCACAACCAGGCTTAGAATCTATCATTCTTGACTTTGTCTTGGGAATACCACACTCTCCAGCAGGAAAAAGTGGAGTAATCTGTCTTGATGATATACTTCTTTTCATAGTAGAAACCACAGTACTAGCTGACCACWTAGAGATATAGAAATCCTCCATGTTTGGTTTGGGATCCTGGAGGATATGCAAAAGAATGTTACAGTAGCACCTCCACCTCTACCATCACCACCTCCACCTCCACAACAACAACAACAATAACAACAAAACTTTATTCTCAAACTTGATACTCAAGTAGTGAATATAAATCAGTCCAGGGCATTCAGTATGCTCTTCCAATCAGTCTAGATTTTTCTTTACAATATTGATTGTTTTCACCCATTTCCATAAGATTCAAAAGATAAAAGACTGGCAGCCATGTTACATGCGTTCTTATTCGCTWAGAAGCTCAAACTATGTGATCTCGAAGCGTTGAGACGTTTCTGTTAAACGGTATTGTTTTTACGCCAAAAACAAACAAACTGATTAACGCAGAAGTCTCGCTGCTTTGCCGCTCGATAATATAGCAAGCAAAAGAATAAAAGACTCTGTAATCAGGGTAACGGTAAAGATCACTCAATGTGCGATCGAACAGACGACACAAATATTCTTCGGTTGCTCTTCTCGTCAATAAAGAATAAGACAAGTATAAACACTACCACTATTCATCTACATGTCGGTCAAGAAAGCGGACGTTAAAGTGAGAGTCACTTCCCACAATAAAGAACAATTTCATTCTATTCATTGTCATATAAGACAAACTCAATCTTTATAATGTAATATTCATGAACTGCATTAATCTTTTATTTGATGCAACTATTGTAATCAATTGGCTGACACCTGCCTAACATACCTGCAAAATATATTCTGGTATATAGTCAGGGGAAAGACACGGAATCCCTGCATGAGCAAAACACTGGACTTCATCCTCTAAAGCCTTTTCAACAAAAACATGGGTTGCTTTTTGAATCAGTGAGCTGTGGTATGGTGGCTTTGCAKTGAGCACAGTTGCTTGACCAATCTCTAATAAGCTAACATAAATATCAAATCTATTACAATAATAGTTCGACAGAAAATACATGACAGACAAATTAAACTTCTATCATAAAGTATGTCCTTAGTATTCTTGCTCGCTGTGCTGTTAAACGTTTATGGTGTTTACTGGAAATTGATTGATTGAAGTAGCAACAAGACAAAACAAAAGAAAKGTGGTTTTGTTAGGGAAGCCATTACTCTGCTTCAATTCTATAGTTTCTTGATAATAATCATACCCATACCTTCTATAAGCATTTCTTTTCTTGGTGTCCTTCAGAATTACTAATGCCTTCCAATCATGAAAAGGTCCTGTACGGCTTATTAAAAGTTCTTTCCTCCACCGACAAGGTGCTGATATATGTCCTTTTGGAAGACCATTATAACTACATTGATCATTCCATTCATAACTCTCTTCATCAAGCCATCTTTTTGCCTTTATACTGTTGTCAATATATTCTCTTCTCAGAATCCACTTGCCTATAAAGAGAACAATGTATGTTTTATAATGCTTCAAAAATTAAAGGAATCACAACATTAAGCAAGAAGCTCTTCTATTGTATATAATAAACAATGTAAAGCACAAGTCTGGGTGGACTATGCGTTGATTGTACATGACRAGAAATGGTCTCATTTTTTTATCATCTGCCAAACTAMGGGACAAATTTGAAAAAGTAACTTTTCTCAACTTTTCTTTTTGCTCAATGCAACCATGGTCTAGCATGAAAGTTCAATAGCCAATCAGAATGCTGTATTTGCAGCCCATAGTTTGGTGGGAGATTAATAGACCTTTCAATACCCTACCCCTCCCCCCTCAGCAATGAAGAACTTAGTGCTCACTACCTGCTGCAGAGCCACATAAAAACTTCTCTCCACGGTTAGGTTTCTTGCTCACAATATGGGTACAGGTCACTGTGTAGTGCTATAAACAAATTAGAATATCAAATTATCAATTACCAGTATAATATTATTACATTGATATACTGTTAATAGTAGACATATTGGTTGTGTTCAACTTTGTGTGACCTGCGATRTCAAGTGAACATCAAGGCCGGATTTTATATGGCGTTCTATAAAAGGTACCATGTAAATAAGAACACACTCATGGTGATTTTTCATTAAACACCCCTTCAATAAGAACAGTGGAAAGCGAGAGGAAAGTCGATGGCGCGCGATACTTTTGGCGTCTCATACGACTGTAATGTAATCCTATACATACAAGGATCATTCAAAAGACGTATTTTTTTTAATTCAAGCTATCAACTTCATTGAATTCAGCCCGGCATAAATACAATTGTCTAAAGAGAATCTTGTGTCTTAAAAGTTGAACGGAATCTTGCACATATGGATGTCGATATGTCGTTGAAGACGCTAAACACATAAACTAGACGCTAGCACATAAACAGCTCGACGTTAGCACGACGTATGAACCGGACCTTAGTAACAAGAAAATAGCGTAACTTCTCTTACCGATGAGTCGGAACAACTGCCCCCTAGTTCAATTATAGCTTTAGTGAGTTCTTGTCTTTCTTCTTGGGTGAATGAAGATAACAGAAAACGATATCTTTTCCGGATTTCGGAAACAGAAGCGTTCAATTCATCCGCCATGTTGAATTCCAAAGTTCCCGCGCCTGTTCCCGCGCCTGTTCCCGCGCTTGGACCGCTTGCTCTTTGCAAGTTACACAGGCAGCCCACATCAGCCAGCCCTCCCCTCTCCGTATCCTCATCTCTCCCCTCCCAACAAAAGTTTGATATAAACATGGCGGAGGACGATAATGATCGTGCGCTGTCATTTTCCTGTAAGCAAACAACGTTCAATCTGATGTCTTTTGAAGTAAATCTTGTGATAAGCTGCAAAACAAGTGAAAGAATTCTTCTCGAAAGACCTCACGGATATGATCAATGGCGCTGTCCTGTCGTTGATATTTGTAGGAGAGAAGGGTTTGTAGATGCTGTTTCTCGATGGTGCAAAGCGAACGTCGTACTTGGCAAGGTGATTGGCGCCAAAAATTATATGCGGCTGGGCTTTGGTGATTGATAAGAATACTTGTTAAACTTCATTTCAAATATTCATGGGAGAGTTTCACTAAGCAATTTTTTTTAGGTGCTCAATTCAACCATA